AAAAAAAAACGTGAAAAAGAGGGGAAGAGTAAAGGAAGTAAGAAAAATCAAAAGAATATTAAGAAGCATAGAGAAAGAAGAGAAGAAAGAGGGGAAGAGAAAGAGAAAAGGAATAGAGAAAGGAAATGAGAAAGAAGAGGAAAGAATACCAAGCAACGGAGGAGATGAAGAAGAAAAAGAAAGAGAAGAAGAAGAGAAAATGAGGAAAGGAATGAGAGGGAGCTGGTTATATATATGTTTTATACAGATCGAAACTGGTCCGAATATACCAAATAAGTGCCACATTACCACCTAGTGGAGAGCTTTAACTTTGTTGAAAATTTAGGCGGCAAACATTTCTAGGTTGAAATCGGTCCGCAAATTACCACAAAAGTTTGATTTATAGCGAAATTCTTGGCGGCAAATTTTACGGACCGAAAACGGTCCGTAATAAATAATTAGGCGCCAATTCTGAAAAATTTAATTTTCAGTGAAATTTTTTAGGGGCAAAACCGGTGAAAAAGTAATCGGTTATATTCGGACCGGTATTGGTCTGTATATATAAGTTAAAACTTTGTTAATTATAAAGATGAATTAAATTACTTAAATTACCTATATTCGTACTGTTGTTGGTTTAAATATATTGCAAAAAAATCCAGAAACTTCTTCCTATGCACCTTTTATTCTTTTCATTTAAGGACATCACCATCTTCCCGTGCCCCAAATCCGTTCTTACGAAAACCAATTGCGTAAACATTGACACTACAGTCTCTTGGAACCCTGGAACCCTGGAACCATCGATTCCATGCTTGAAATTATCTAATGATGACACGGAATAGAATCGTTGTAAAACCTTGAATGTACAAGTATAAGGTTATTAAATATAAGGTTACGTAATGTTCTTTCAGAGCCACAAGCAAGTAAATTTGATTTTTTTATGTAAGGTTATCCACTTTAGCATGCAAACATTTGGAATATTATGGTTAAAAACGAGAGTATAACGAATTGAGCATGAGATAAGAAAACAAATGGAAAAGTTGCAGGTGGGTATATATTGGGACCAAAACCAGTTCGTATACTAATATATGGACCATTTTCGGTCTGTATATATGTCCATCATGGTTTTTTTTAATTATAAATATAAATTAAATTTGGTGTAAAGATATATACGGACCGATTTTGGTCGGAATAGAGGCACAAAATCTAGAAGCTTCTACCCCTTTAAAATTTCAAACCGTTTTTGGTTCGAATATGCCGCCAAAAATCCAGAACCTTCACCCTGTGCACCTTTTTATTTTTTTCATTTAAGGACATCACCATCTTCCTGTGCCCCAAATCTGTTTTTACGAAAACTAATTGCGTGAACATTGACACTACAGTCTCCTAGAACCCTGGAACCATCGATTCCATGCCTGAAATTATCTAACGATAACGCGGAATAGAATCGTTGTAAAACCTTGAATGTACAAGTATAAGGTTATTAGATATAAGGTTACGTAATGTTTTTTTGGAGCCACAAGCAAGTAAATTTGATTTTTTTGTGTAAGGTTATTCACTTTAGCGTGCAAACATTCTGAATCTTATGGTTGAAAATGAGAGTATAATGAATTAAGCATGAGATAAGAAAAACAATGGAAAAGCTGTAGGTGGGTATATATTGGGACCAAAATCGGTTCATATAACACTATACAGACCGATACCGGTCCGAATATATGTCTGTGTATATTATGGAAGATATAGACAAATCAGTAACGGTTGGTATATACGAATAAGGTTGTGTTGGGCTATAGGTATATGCAGACCGATATTGGTCCATATATGTTAATAGTGATATATACAGACCGTTATCAGTCTGTATATAATAGTTTGGGCTGAGCCGGTTGGGGATTAAGAGCTGATTGTGTTGCATGCCTCGAACATTTTGTTTTTTGGACTGAGCCGGCTATAAAAATTTTACAGTCCGTTTAACTGGCCTTGATTCTTTACAGGTTATATACGGACTAGTATCGGTTCGTATAAAAGGTGAGCCGACTGAGGAATTAAAGTTGACTGGTGCTGCACTGTTTCGAACATTTTGTTTTTTTGGATTGAGTCAGCTGTAAAAATTTTGTAGCCGACTTAACTCTTCTCGATTTTTTACTATTATATATGGACCGTTATCGGTCCATATAGACTGGTGAGCCGGCTATGGAATGAAAGCTGGCTGGTGCTGAATTGCTTCAAACATTTTGTTTTTTTTATTAAGCCGGTTGTGTGTATTTTTGCAGTCGGCTTTACTTACCTTGATATATACGGACCAGCATCGGTCCATATATGCTTGTGTCTGCCACCATACACTCAGTCATTTCTATGTTTATTACGGTAGTTATACTAATTGAAACCGATCTATGTATGATTATTTCATTTAGTTTGATATTTCTTACATATAAAGTATTTAATTGATATTTAAATTAATATATTTGATATTATAAAATTATTTTCACATAATTTATGATATTTGTCATATAAAATGCTAGAAAATCATGTTAATTTACTCTAAATATATAAGTCTCCAATATCTACTACAAATATAAAGTAAATACAAATATTTAATTTAAATATAAAAAACCTAGATATCTTGGAGTGTCCTAGGAGTGACTGTCCCACTAGTATCCATTGGGGCCATCCCTAAATGCTGGTAAAGTTGCTGCATCTGTGCAGCATGGGTCACTTATTGTTGTTGTAGGCTCTCATTATCTGCTATAAGGGTCATTTGTGATTGTCGAAGACTATTATTATCTGCCTTTAATGGTTCAACAGTCTGCTCTAATTCAATAATCCTATTAGATTGTGCTATAATGGGTGGCCTGAATGGTTCTCGTCTAGATATGCTCACGCCTATATCCTGTGGATGTGTGTGAATATCCAAACTTTTCAACCATCCTTTCTTGACCCCACCAGTTGCCCTAAGTAATAACTCACTATGAGTTATTGTAAGGTCAAATCCTTCTTCCTCTTGTCTAGCAGCATATTCAGCTATCAATTTTTTTGAAATAATATAAAACAAAATAAATAATTAATTGTATTGAAAATTAAAGTGTAATTTAAAATATTACTTTAGGTACCTAAATTCAATTTACTCTTCCTTAAAAGGATGGAGTTTTAACTTTTTACCAATAACTATATTGTACAATAATTTTAATATTATAATCAAAATAATTTTAATTAATTCATGACATAATTTAAAGTAAAATTGTTAAGTTAAATAATTACTGCAATTTCTTAAGCTTCATCATTACAACATATAGGCAGTTGGTCTTTTCCTTTTCCTTTTCCTTTGTGCTGCCTTCTACTGGTGTAGATCTCAAGAAATGTCGGTAGACGACCCTCAGGGTTTGCTTGTTGCTGTAAAGAAAAAAAAGAGAAAATATTAAAATAATCAATATAAAATAGATTATAAATCATAATTCATTAATTATTCATTAAAAATAGGTTAAATGCTAAATTTGGTCCCTTAACTTTAGTGAGTTGCACATTTTTTGTCCCTCAACAATTTTTTTGCACTTTTTTGATCCCTCAACTATAAGAAATGTATCTCGTTAGTCCTTCTGTTAATTTGAGCCGTTAACTTCACTTATGTGGCATTTTTTATGTTTTTTTTGATGATGTGGAGAGCAAAATTTA